CCTTCGTGTGATGTGCTCTGGTTGGTGCACCGCAATCATCCCCACCCTTTCCGAGCGCCCCGAGATAAAAGGATGATCAGTATGGGGTTTTCCCCGGTTTTTCCCGTGAACACAGGTTCGCCGAGTGATTATTGGTCGCTATTTGACGACCATAGGGTCTCGAAAACCCGGAAAGTGGGAAGAAATGTGCTGGCCATGGCGTTCTCACCATCACCTGGACCAGAACCGTCTGCATGGCCGCTTTTGTTTCTTATTCTCCAACTTTGCCCACGCCCAGCTTCGAAGGCAGAAAATAAGTTATTTGTGTTTAAAATGGATCAAAATAATGTTTATTGTGAAGAACCAGAAACAAAACAGGGCCCGCTAGTCGCAGACACCATCAAATCAAATGAAATCAAAGAATGAAGTCGCCGATAGGACAAAAACTGCCCTGCAGCAAAAACCTTTAATTCCCCAATTCTTGCAATGCAATTGTAATTTTTTTATTCTCTTTGAAACTCTCATGACGTTTCTTCCAAAAACTCTGCAGTCGCTAAAATCCAATAAGTCTGAGAGTTTTTTGGAAACGTGATGAATATTGTAAAGTTGTTTTCGTGGGTTATCAATAAAAACTCAGTGTTGATGGGCGGCCACGCACATCAACAGGGGTGCGAAAGGAAAAAGTGTGGAGCGAAGCTTGGACAAAAAACGTCTGGTCGCTCTGTGTTGACGGCTGCTGACCAGATTCCGGAGGAATCTCCTTTATTTCAATGGATTTTACTTCTTCTTTCGCCTGAATGTAACTCCTATCTACTTTGAGTCGAAAGTGGATCCTCCACGGCGAACATATGAGTCTAAAGGATTTCAAGGAGGACTGAACTGACAAGGTGGTTGTGTGGACAAGATTGAAACCACTGCTCAGGAAGGCCGCTCGATGGTTACTGTCTCCGTCCAGGACAAGCCACCAAGGGTATTTCTGGGTTTCTTTCAAGAAGGACAGAGCACGTTTAGTACGAACAAGTGCAACACCTAGCCATTCCGCTGTCCAGCCTCTCTGCCCTTCCCATCGCGAGTGGCTAGCACTACAGTACACCAAGCGGCGGTAGCGGAGCCTCTGTGTGGTGAAAGTTGTGTGTAAGTAGCGTTTAGCGCGAGATCGATATAATAACCCGTCGCACGCTCGTCGCCCGAGTCGATGAATGTACTCATAGTCGGACTCAAATGAAAAGAAGTTCGAGGAGGGAAGGGCTTGTACTCCTAATTCTGTGGTATATGCGTGAAGGGAGCTCACGCTCTCAAAGTCTCGCCCATGAAAGGAGCTGCTCTCTTCCGAAGCGATTGAATGATCGCTGGGCCATATCAGAGTGGCCCTGGGAAGCCACTGCAGTTCTTGAAGCATGCACATATGGAAGTGTCAAGAAATTTATTCTGGAGACTCGAAATTCTCCAGCGCTTCCCGCCAATCTCATCATTCCAATCTGCAGTGGAGGCTTGCAATGGACTGCCAGACGACAATGCACGTAACATAGAGAATGGCCTCCTTCCGAACAACTGTGAAGATAAACGGTTAGGTTTCATCCTTTTTCGCACTAACCTTCGAAGCCAGAAGCGAGCCAGGAGGTGCCAAAAGCGAGGTTCTGACGGTTTTGACACACTGACCTTCAGATTCGCACCGTTGCCTATGTTCCAGTTGAATGGAGCTAAAACTCCGTACCGGGACCTAACGCTTTATTGTGGACAACTGACTGACCGTCTCTGCCAGTGTGAATTTCAAAGCGGATGGACTTTTCAAGGAAAGGAATCCGCTTCGGGGATTTCCTTCCTGAGATCTGCTATCTACTAAAGGCATGGGACCTCAATACGACCTTCCTTCATACCAATTCCATAACGATCATATGCAAGGCAGGAGGAAGGACTTCGCCTGATCCCAAGTGAGGATCTTCTCTAGTTCGGCTCTAGGGAACAAAGCTATGCCATCAGAGTCCTAACAGCTTCGATATCAGCTTCATAACGCACTCAAATATAATGTCCTTATCATTGGGTGCGCGGTGTACTGTAGCGCACGGACCAATCGTGCATCCCTAAAAAGGGGCGTTACCTTCTGCGCGATTGGTGGGAGCTACGTCGCAACTTATCGATAGGATCATCGAAAATTCGCAGCAGTTCAAGTGGAAGTGTTGCTTTCGCTGTGACTTAAGTTCCCCTCGAGTATTCGAAATAGTTGTGAAACATTACGCTGTTATCGCTACTTGAAGTTCTACTGCATAAGCCGCACCCGGCAAGCGAGGAACCTATTGACATACCCTGCCGGATAACGTACTCCAAAATGAGACTTCATTATCAAACAATGACAGGTTCGAATGAGCGCACACACAGTGTCCTGAATACATTTTTCATAATAACAGTACAAAATTGAGGGAATACTGTATTTTCCACGCAATCATTTTTTTCGAGGCTGCGGCTTTAATAGAAAAGCCTGGGAAAACATTTCAACTGACGATATTATTTAGCTACCAGGATGGGAATACGGGGACGTGATTTTGGAATCCAGTGGATGTGGTCGCTCATTGTTGAGCCTTCAGTATTCCCGATTTTCGGGTTCAAAAACTTGCCAGTTCTACGGAGAATTGATCCGATTTTTTCCAGCATTATGACTGAGTTACTCTGACGCGCTAGAACGAGATCACTCCGATACTTCTTCATGGGATACGTTACCTGCCTCGTGCTGGGCATTACCTGATCGTGACGCTCCTTGTGCGTGACGCGTCCGGAGGCAGTGCGCTATTCGGCTCTATAGCAGACTTCGTAATCAGACGGTTATTGTGGACGAACTTGGCTTACAAGTGAATTCATGAGCGTCAGAAAACGGGTCTGGGTAGAATATTACAACGGCGACAGTCTGACCACCTCAATAGGACTGACAAGACCGACTCGACTAAGCAGGGCGCTAGGGTCAGGTCCAGACTGGAGATGTGTAGCGCTGTCTCCTGGCTCAGAATCGGCCTAGCGCCGTGCAAGTGCCGGTGCCAAAACACCCCGGTTAATGCTTGCCACAAAGCGCATTCTGTCAAAGGATATTGTGCTCGCCTTGAATGACTCAGATTGGTAGTTGGAAAGCCAGATGGGGGCGGTGTTGATGCACTGGATATTCCCCGAGCTGGAGGAGTCTGTGCTCGTAGCTTATCTGAAGCGAGGGCGGGAGCTGGCGCTTCTGGAAGGATGATTGCAGTTCGCAGGACAGTCACCAGTCCATTGCTTTGTGTCAGCACAAGAAAGAAGCAACTTGAATGGAAATATCCCACGAACAACTCATCCTAGGGTAGCTCAAATGAAGTACGCCGCTACACCCATTCCATCTGCAGTGTACCTGCCGGATAACTCGTGCTTCTTGTCTCCCAAAGTCCGCAAAATCGTAGAACTGAACCTTTGGATGAGAGCATCTAGCTGGGGAGGCGACTTCAGCGGTATTTCATGACCAGCACGTTCTGGTAGCTCGTCGAGTTTGGCTGACATTCGTTCCTCATGTTCAGCCTCGATTGGCAACGCAATCGTTTTTCATTCGAGCGCTTGCACTTTGTCAGTCCTTCCGTTGCCGTCGTGCTGTCTAATACTGGACCGAGCGCGCAATTACTGGAAATTTCCCCTACGTAACCAACGGCTTTTTCTCATTGAAATCGAAAGAATAATTTTATTGACGACGAATCGAGAACACATTAATAGATCTTTCATTGAATGAGACCTATATTATACTTACTTATAGGTAATAAGACATTTTTATTAATGGGAGTGAGAATGTCTCAGAGTTCACAACGAATGATAGTCTGGGAAGTATAAAAGCACGAAGCCTTTTCCGTTGATCAGTCCGTTTTCGGGATGCGGCCCCCACTCTACTTCCACTCTAATGGGAGAGGGGGAGGAGGGAGGGTGGGGGTAAGTGTTCTCAACCTGCCGGACGAATTTGGTGACAGTTTACCGTCCCCGAAAAGTAGGTGGCTTGGTCGGTATTTACAGGAGCTGATCCGGGTTTGAACGCCTGATAGGCTCTACCACTTGCCAGTGCCTCTTGGAATGTTAAGGCACGATACTACACAAGACACCTGGAAGTATAGAATTGAGATGCCTTGAGCCTTCTGAATCCTCGGTATACTGCTGCACTAGGGAGACATCCCGACAAACTATGGGTAAGTCTTGGAATAGAAACTCCTCATTAGCGAAATGAAGTGAGGGGATTCTGTGGTTGTCCCATTTCCCCTCCCCCTTTTGCGTCGTCTGAAGAGTCAATTTCGCATCGTCTCTCACCTGAACCACCTTAAGCTTTCCATCCCATCTAAGCCGGTAACAGGCTTCTCCTAGGGCATATAAATGTTACCTTGAACGTCCGTCGGCCCTGCAGCCCAGTTTATGGACTACACCGCATTCAAGATGACACGCGTTTGTGGATGAAATGAGAATGCGTAGCGGCTCCTAAAGAAAGATTTATCAGCGCTTGAAGCATCACCAATTGCCCCTATTCAGCAGAGATCTGGTAATGTGAAACTACGAGGGACCAGAGGGACGCAAATCGCAGGCGCGCAAATCGCATGAGGGACCACAGGGACGCAAAGGAACAGTAGGGGACAGCGCCTACCTCTGTGGTTTAGGTCCCATAGCGATCAATCATGCCATCCAACCTCGGTCTTCGGAAAGCAAGAAAACCGAATCTTATAAAAGGGCGTGACTCTTTTTGGTTCCCAAGCATGGGCCCAAATGAAGGAAAGCCGGGCCATCACGTAGTCAACAGTTTGGGGTTGCGAATTTTGGCGCAGGTGCGGGCCTTTTACTGCCCAGTTCCAACAATCTATGTTCATTCAGTTATGGCCCATGTCCCACCAGGCCTGTCCAAGTGAGTGTTTTGGCAAAAGAACTACCGAACAGCAGCATGCCCCCTCCCACCCCACTGAGCCGAGCAGCGGCGCCGAAATTCGGACAAAAATCACGATCTGTGGCGTACTGCAGGGGTACGAGCCGAACAGATTGCGAAGTGTCAGCGTTCTTCTGCTAGTCATTCTATGCATGAAATGTGCAGGTGTTCAGGTGAGCCTGGTTCGCATCATCCCCATCCCGGAGGAACTCATTAACCTTCATCTTTGTTCCTTGTACGCTTCAGACACAATTTACTCCACTCTCAAGTGGCTTTCGCATCATGAATACCATCCCTGCCACTTAAAAGGCGATTTTCTTTGACTTCGTCCAACTATTGTGTTCGTCGAAGAGCCTGTGAGGGCATTCTTCATTTTTGTTGACGACCTTCAACCATTGCAATCACATCGAGCCATCGAAGCCATTTTTTCAACGCTCGCTGCGGTTTTTTCGCTTCGCTCCAAGGTCTTTTTCGTGACGTTTTTGCATACGGTACCCGGTGTAAAAAAAACGCCATTCGCGCGCGTGAAAAGCGAACAATGACAAAATTCACCTCGGGCCTGCGCAGATGCTCGTCGAAAGCAACGGCCTTTCCCCCACAGCCCCTTCCAAACTTTTCCTTGCAAAGTCGTCAGCAGGCAAGTAGGGAGGGCTACTGTTTATTACGAATGAAGTGTGTTGAATTGCCATATTTATGAACTATGCATACATACAATTGAAGGAGGTTGGTGACGTGAAGGCAGCGCTCACGTTCATTTGATGTTCCCGCGCCCTCTGTGGATACAATAGCCCCCCCCCTATGAGGAGACGGCCGGCAGTATGTACTAATTTTGCATCTCAAAAAGGCGAAAGGATAGCGCCAGTTCGCTAGTAAAAAGTCGGCCGCCCCGCCCACCTGGCCAGTATAGGGTTCTATACAGGGTACAGCATGGGGATGTGCGATGTCGGTGTGAGTACGACCCCCCGTCAAATGGGGGTCCCAGGCCACGACGGTACGGAATAGCTTATATGCATATAGTGCATATAAAACAAAAAATTAATACGACCCCTTTTCCACAAGAAAAAATCAACTATCAAAATAAATTTGTCTTACAAATACGACCCCCCCCTCCCAGAGCAAACAGCCTTACGCACCCCCCCCATGGCGTTTGACACAACGATGCTGTACCCTGGTTCTATATAGGGGACTTTCCATGTTTTTCTGCTTTTTCTTCAATACTGGATCACGTATTATATGAGCTCCACAAAACATTATTCTTGAAAGCGGGCTCAGCCTTGAAAGGCTAAGCCAAAGCAGTTACGACAGTCAGGTGGACGGGGCGGCATCCTCCTCACAAGCGGGTGGCTCCATCCTCTCGTATTTTTAGCTGCGAAATTAGTATTATACATCCTCCGCCCTTGTCGACAAAGGCAGGATATCTAAGGAGGGCGCTGGAACATCAAATAAACGCGGGCGCTGCCTTTGCATTTGTATGCTCCGACACTCTTGAATCGTCCACACAGAGTTCAGCTTACTTTCGGGTAGGGTTCTCAAGATACAGCGGGTGTTTTATGCTTTTTTTTCTTGGAAAAATAGAAGGACCATTTTGTCGCAGTGGGACTAAATGCGGTGACCGCTAGATACTGTTATCGGGCTTTTCCTGGAGTTACTAGCTCCCCTTCCAGCCTTTGTGCCGGTAATGCTCGCGTCTTTTGGGGCCTCTTGTGCAATCCGCTCTCGCAACTGCTTTCTTGATGCTAAGCAGCTGGACCACACCTGAGTGATGCATTCGGTTATAAACACATCAAAAGTGCACACGTTCGATAATGTACTTTGACACAATCACTCACTTTGAGGGGGAGCCTTTGTGTTATTTGCTTCTGAGTGGCGACTTCTACAGGATTTTGTGGTGTGGATGTGTTAGGCTGATAAGCTGTGGGAAAGCTGCTCTCTCACTCTATCCCGGCTATTGATTCCTGATATCACTGAGTCATTTTGACGAAGTATGCCTGTTCTGAAAGAAATCTTAAAAAGTCTAAAAGAATGACAGCAATTC